GTTGTAGTAATCCAAGTTATTTATTAGCCTATACAACTTATAATAATCCGGTGTATCAGAATATTATAGTAATCCAAAGGACTTATTAGTCTATACAATCGCACAATATACTGCTCATCAGCATATTAAAGTAATCCAAGAGACATAAGTCGTATTAGCTCTATTGAATTTATTAGCTCCTTATGTTGCTTTACATAAGCGTATAGGCAATTTCGAAATTTTAATGTAATTTAAAAATAATATCTTAGCTGTTTGACGGAACATTCCGTCTTGAGCGGGCATATTGACCAATTAGATGCTGCTTTTGATGGCTACGGTCATGGTGTGAATCAGAGAAGAAACTGAAGTCAGTTGCTCAACTGCTCTATCACTACCCGTCACTCACTTCCATTTTTGGTTCTCCTTCTTTAAATATCCGTCTTATACCTCTAATAAAGGCATTGAAGATATTATCTGTTATATTAACGCAACAAAGTAATTCTCGATCCGAAGTAAAGACATATTTACTTAAGCACTTTAAAACAATTTAAAACATTTAATTTAAAACAATGTTACCACAGTGGGTCCATTTTCAAAGCTTAATTGATTGCCGTTTTTGAACGAGGCAGGCTAATATTATAAAATGCAACAAAATTTACCAAAAATATTCAAAACTTTTGTACCACTGTCAAAAACATCCACTAAAATCTGCAACACTCATGGATGTAAAATGGCAAACTAATCTCAGTATTCAAATATGTTTATCATCGATTCAATTTACTGCATCAACTTGTGATTTCAAAGATTGAAAGCTTGTCCACTAAGTTTACATAGCGCTGTATGACGACTTGATTTGGTTCTTTATATTTTTAAATCAATTAACTTAATAAAGTGATGAATCACTTTATGATACTAAGGGCTATAATTCCTCCATGATAATCTTTTTCAAATACACCTGATTTGGAACACCTATGCTGCAAGAAGCCGTGGAAGATCACAAACCATATGGTATAGTACAGTTTTTACATTTTATCGATAGCGATTATTAGGTGGCAATAGATTATATTGAAATTTATTTGTGAAATCTTGAAACTCGTAGAAAGTAGTACGGAAATAATAATAGAAACAGTAATTATAGAAAGCACAGTTAGACATGTTACAAACTTCGAATATTAATACAGCAGATAATAAATAATAAGTTCGTATACAAATTCAGACAGAAATTTAAACCTAATATTGAAGAGAAAATACTAGATATCTGATCACCTCCTAAATAGTCTTAGCCTCTACACAAGAAGTAATAACTGAAAGCAGGCGGCCAACACACTAGTATTCTCTAATGCCATTTATTGCACTAGATAAAAAAAACAACTATTTTATATTAACCAGTTAAATTACTCATCACTTAACGTTCGTTAAAGGCTCCCAAATTGTAAGGGCTGAATTTAACCAAGCTATACATACAAATAAATAGTTAGAAACGAAAATAGGTCACCACAATGGGCCGAAAATAGTAATTCTATTCGTAGACTATTCCAATCACTTCTTCAATCAACCAATCGAAGCAAAAATGTGTATCTACTTTCTTCTCTTTTGTGATTTTTTTTTTATTTATGTATATATGTAATTATTTATCTTTATGATATCCAAAACATCATAATGTTGATAGGTTACCGGAGTTTTGGCATTAATTACAGCTTATTTCTTTTCTTCAAAAAGATTATTCTCGTATATGTATAGGTAGATTATACTTTTTCTTCATTACTTATTATTGAAGTTCTTCGCTATTATCTTGAAATTATTTTTGTTTACTATATTCTAGCTAGAAATTATAGGTCTTAACATGCGAGGTTTGGTTAGGTATATTATAGTATAAATGTATTACAACCCTTGTGTGTCAATCCTCATTCTTCCTCTTTCTTAATATGTCATCCTTCTGTTACACGATTTTGTTCGGTCTCGTCTTCTCCTATTATACTATACTACAATTTTTAGACTTCATGTTTTTATTTCTTTATAAGTCCTTCTTTAGTATTTTTATCTTTGACTACATTTCGCCACTTCTTCTTAACAAAAATTTGCTGAAAAACTATTCTATTCACTTTTTACTTGCTCTTCTTCATTTATTTGGTTATATCTTGTATTTTTTCGGAATATTCAGGACTAAAGATTTACATTTTTAAACCTGCTTATATATTTTTATCCACTTCTAAGAAAAATTTCTGCCGAAATTTTCTAACGAACTACAAGTATTTTTTCACAAGAAATAATATTATACAATCCTTGTACTTCCTTAAAGCAAGAAAGCCATAAAACTTTAAATGTTTGCTTTGCTTCACTTCCGCGGTATTAGTGTGGCTTTCTTAATAGCGGAAACGGATATAATGGCAAGCAGACACGTTGCTGTTGTTGTCGTTCGCGTCGTCGTCGACATAAGTTTGAGGCAATTTGGCATGACGCTGTCCTGGTCTATGTCGACGGCATCATTTATGCAACTTCAACTAGCCTGGCCAATTCTGATTTTTTCCAAATTCGTTAAAGTTTCCGCCCAACAACAATGCAAAGTCAAGTCGAAGCATAGCATAAAATCATAATTTTATGTTAGTTTTTCTATGCAAACTATGGATTCGACTTAAATGCAAAGGATCATAATTTCTCCTCAACTCCTGCCCCTGTTGCTTCAGCGCTTTTACCATATTTGCTACTACGACAGAAAGAAAGTAGAAAGTTTTTCGCGCAATTACCGTGTTATTTTATTATGAGTTATTTTATTGCACTTTGGCAGTGCATAATTTTGGACTCAGACACACAAACGAGTGTCTGTGTAATGCGAACATAACAATTACTCCTGCTAAATGTCAGTGGCAGCAAGAAGCTTTTTCACTGTCCTCTAAATTAATAGGGAAAAACATTCTGATTAAATTTACAGAATGTGCAAAAAATTATAAAAAGCAATATTTTTTTCTTATTCTTTTAGGTTTTTCAACACCGATTAGGCACATATCAGTGCGTTCATTGTTGCCAAACACGGATCACTACATCACATACGAAGGCTCAACTACACATCCTGGCTGCTGGGAGAGCACCGTTTGGATTATAGTTAATAAACCTATTTATATCACTAAACAAGAGGTTAGTAAAAATATACAAATCCTAACTACAATATTAATCACTCAATGATCTGTGACAAAAAAATTTAATTAAAACCAAACGCTGTGCATAATTATATCGCCAAATAATTTATAACAAAGCTTGTTTTAATTATGTTATTATCGCTTTAACCGTAGCCACTGTAAATTTTCATTATAACCAACCTTTTTAATACCCTTCGCACGCAAATTTCGAAAAATAAACTAATCGTGGTGACCCATCATATAACATGATAGCAACCTCAGATATATTCTTCATCATATACACCATTATAATGCTGTAGGCATGACTCATATCCGATATGCTGTGCCAATAATGATTTCTTTTAGTTAAAATCGTTTTTTCTACCAAAGACTTAGTTGTGGACCAACTAAATCCCAAATAAGATTTCAATCTATGAAAATAAAAGTAGGTCTCTTAAATTAAATGGTTGATCCGGTCTTGTAGGACTGTCCGCGCACTCATTATTATTGATTTATTTGTGGTTACGGGCCCAGTAAAGTACTATTCTGTTTTTGTTAAGCAGTTAATATAGCATACCGTGGTAGATCACCCATATTTCTGAAGAAAGCCTCCTGGAGACCAATGCCTTGATGGCTGCTTGGCTATCCGTGTTGATCTACGGAAATCTACGGAGATCTGTATAGATCTACAGATCTGCTTTCTGTAAGATATAGAAATGAATGTCTTTAAATCTTTTGGGGACGTTGAGTCAGGTCCAGACCTAAATGACTGGACTTAGAAGGCACAGGGCCATACACACAATGCGTACAGATTTTTATAGTTACAGCCGAAAACTTCTACACCAACAATTTCATTAGTGTACGGGATTTCTCTTACTCTATAATTAGACATGCCATTTTTCTACAATATGATATGGCATGAAGATTTCTAGATTTCCGCTTAAATGTAATTTCATATTCATGTGAAAGACACTAATTTCCAAATAGATGCAATTAAATAGTATCCAAAAGTCTATTTTCCATATTTTATATCAATATTATGATTTTTATTATTAAATTTCTTATCTTAAACTAACATATTTATGTGATTCCGACTTTAAATCACACAAGACCTTGCCACGTGTTAACTGGTCATCACCTGTTTGAGGATTGCAGTCGATAGCTTTCCTCGAAATATTGTGTTCAGGTTTACTGAACGTATGATCAATCTTCTTCCACTTGCAGCAAATAAATAATCATCTACATCGCCTTTTGTTTCGTAAAATACATCGATCAAATCGTGTGATCAATTCGATTCCACTTAGGGCGAAGAATTTCCGTGACTCCTATTTCACTGAATAATATTTACTTAATCTGTATGAAGAGTATTTTAGTTCTGGTAATGCCAAAGCTAACTTCTTTATTTAGTTTGCTTGAGTGTGGCGTTTTAATTTAATATTAGTTGTGTCAGATAAATAATTATTTAATTACCTTGTTAGCCACAAAATTTTGTGCAAATGTCGTATTAATTTTGCAACAAATTGAATTTGCAGTATTTTTGATTGCATTTCCCGGAATTATTCCGTGGCGGTCTCAAGCCACACAGATGCGGTAACGGAAATCAATTTAAACCGTGTTCATATGCACTATTTTAAATGGTAAAAATTATGTATTAATTGTGCACTTCATAAGCAATTAAGGACCTTTCAAAAAAAAAAAAGGACACTTATTTTATATGTGTTTAATTGCAGTTCATTTAATTGTTCCTGTTAAAGTTTCGACATATTTCATTTACAAGCAATTAAGTGCTAAGTGGTATTAAATTGCTCAAAAGTGTTTATATGGGTTTTTTTTAAATTAATTATGAATTGATAGTAGGTAACTTAAAAAATTTTTTTTTAATTTTAATTGCATATATATGAATAACTAAAAATCAGGATATTTTATTTTTACGAATACCATCTTATATTGCAAGCTTTTTTATAACTTTAAAGCTATGCATCTTTAAAGCATTTTTTAAATAGAAGTTCACATCTATCTACCAATTATCAATTGTTTATATTAAAGTAAAGTTCAATATAGACAGTTCAAATAAAAAAAACTTTCTTATATACTTAGAAGAAAAAGTTTTTTATTTAGCAAAAAGTTTTTATCTTTTACAGTAGATCAATAAATATTGTATCTGTAAATAACTATTAAAACTAAATAAGTGTCATGCTACTAATAATTAAAGAGAATTATATATATTTATTTTGTATTTTAATAATTTTTTTAGACTAAAATTATATCAGTTAACTTTTACGAACTACCATATATACTGCAATATACAATTAACTTGCGTATATATACTTCAAATTTTTTCAAACGTAATTTTATTTGTACTGTACTATTTTGTTTGCAGTTATATCAACTCAGACGACTGATGCAAGGTTCAGAGACTTCACCTAAAGCTCCATTAGGCAATAATGCGCGTCCTCTACAAGGACTTCATCATAGAACAGTAAGAACTAATATAGACTTTAAGAGAAACAAGGTAAATATAAAATTATTTAAAATATCTTCTATGTTTATTATTTAAATATCTTCTATGTTTTTATCAGCAAATAAAAAATACTTAGAATTTAAAAAATTTTTAAAAAGAATTAAGTGACTATTACAAATATTTCAAATTAAATACTAGACGCATCATAGGATTCATATAGTCCATAAATATAGATAATTAATGTATAGAATGGACTTGTTTTATTAAAGAATGTGACAGAAATATTAAAAATATGATATCTTAGAGAAATGTAATTTAATATAAAAATCTTCATAAAATCAATCCTCATTACTTACGTATATTTCTTCTTCTTATTGCATTGCAGAATCAAAACTCATGCCCTTCCATGTACAAGGATATGTATTACCGAGCGAATCGCTGGTCACCGGACACAGGACTTCTAATTCGTTGACCGCACTATCTTCACAAAGAAATGCCGAGACGGATCCGCAGCAGTACCAGCTACCAAAGTAGCCACGAAAGCAACAACGATCATAAAAACTATAACAAATTTAAATTATTACTATTATTACTATTATATATAGTAGAAGTAGCAACAAACGAAAAATATTTTACAACAAATTAAAGATGACAGGAAATAAATTAAAATCAGAAGCCGGAAATGTGGCAAAACTAAAAAATATAGAGGAAGACTTTAATTTCGTCAACTTTGCAGACAACTTCGAAATGCAGACCCAGGCTTCTGGTGTGTTATTGCTTGCTTTACTAATCAAATACTAAGCCAACTTGCAAAATATTTACCTATAAGCATTCTTTTTATTATAAACAATTGATTTTTTTAAATTAAAAAGTAATAAGTGTATTTTATTTTAAAAAAAAATTATAATTATTATTATTTGTTACATATTATTTTTTAAAAAGAAAATTGTATAAATCGTATAATTTTATTACAGTTTAAACATTATAAAAATCAAAAACAAATTTAATAAATATGTATAACCGCAGTTAAGTAAATCATTTGTTTAGATGCAATATATTTATATAAAATATATATAAATAAATAAAAATTATATAAAAAAGCCGAGAACTGGTTGGGTGGACAATAAATATTTAAACAAAAATAGCGAAATATATTGTATTTAATATAAAACATAAATAAAACATAAAAAAACGCAAGAAATATATAAGCTAAACATATTGAATATATATGAGTAAAGCAGACAGCAAAATATACTAATGCGTATATAGCATGTTCGTTGTAAGCTAATATATAACCTCAAATACTTAATCAAAATTATACATATAATTAACACTTATCTTTATAATTGTGTTTACTCCTTGAAAATTTTTACTTTCCATTGCTATGTAATAACATAATGCTGGATACTCATACCGAAGTCTATTATCCTACATATAGAGACGATATACGTCGTGCTTAGTTTTAAGTACTAGATAAAATAAATTGTATTAACTATTATTTTTTTTATGAAAATTAATCATAAAATAAAGAATATATATTTAAACCAAATATGGTTATCCTGGCTAGGCTAGTGTTGTAAATGCTACAGAATTTATTTTGCTATTATTGTTCTGTCATGGAAGAGCTCAATTGTAGAATGTGTTGTCAGCTGTGGAATTATTTTAGCTACTACGATATATCAAGAATAGGAGCAATTATTTGTATACATATGATTCTATGTGGTTAATTATATTAATAATTTTTTATTTTAATATAGCAAATTAAATTATTACATATATAAATGTATTTGTAAACTAAATTGATATATTTATATATATATTATTATATATATATATACATATGTACCAAGTATATACTATGTATTTTAGTTAATAATGAATGTAATAAAGTTAATGATCACTTGTGTAAAATGCAATAAATATTTAATAAATAATGTATTCGTATATAGTCAAAACTATTACATATGTATGCAAAAAATAAATAAATTTAAAAATATATTGTATAGTTATAAGTTACATATTACATAAAAATATTAAAAAATAATTAGTGTATGCAAATAAATAAGAATGATTATAACAAAACTAAAACTTGAAGCTTTTTTATAGAGATTTTTATATTTTTAAAAATCATTTATAGGCGAATTATACTAGTTTACCTAAAAATATTTTAATCCAAAATATTTCAATCCGCTGATTAAGCCATAATCAGTTCGAATGATTATGAATGCATAGTATTCAACATATAGATAGATATGAATTCTTTTCTTCTGATGCATAAAGTATCTTAATGTAGTAGTAATGTTTATATTTCCATTAAACCTATTTCAAGTTGTTTTACTCAATCATTATTAGGAATATTTTTAGCAGGATTTTGAAAGCATGTTAAGCTCAGTACAATATCGAATCAGTTGAAAGCCCTAATAAAGCACTTTGAAGAATATCAGCTTAATTATTGGTAACATATTCAAACAGATGACCACTAGTTATCGAAAAAAAATGTTACTAAAGTGTACAAAAATGTATATGTGTTTCGAGCCTGTTGGGATCTGTTGAGAAAAGGGGATGAGGTACTTTGAAATATTTCAATTCAATTGTCGTTGAATATATTTAAGCAAATGATCCTGGTTACCAAAAAAAGTATACAAAATTATAGAATTATGTGTTTTGAGCCTGTTCAGGTCTGTCGTAGACATACCATGAAATATTTTAGTTTAATTGTTAATGAATATACTCAAACAAATGAACCGTAGTGTTTTGAGTTTGTTCGGAACCTGTTAAGCATTTTGATAAGGTACTTTGAACGATTTCACTGCATTAACTAATGTACTGATGTTTAAAAAGCGTTGTATTCGCTTTAATTCGTTGTTAGGCTAAGCTATATATTAGATACTCAATTACAATCAAGATTTTTGTTTATATAAATCGTATGGTGAATGCGATCTAAGAATACAACTAACCTATCTTTATTTTGATTTAAATTTTTCTCAATAGTGCAAGTATTTTTAAATATTTGTATGCATAAAAAGTTCAGATATATATCATGTTTAAAAAAGTACAGACGTGTTACGTCTCTAGTCCAAATAACACACCATCGCACTATAAGTGATCTCTTATATATTGATTAGTTTTTCGATAGTAACTTGCAGCTTTTCACTACCCCAATGCAACAGTTTTGTGTTTTATTTATTGATTAGTGAAAGAATTTTTTTTAAAAATAATTAAAACATTTAATTATTAGTGAAAGAATGAAAATAAGTCATTGAGGCGAATGTGTTGTGAAAAATCGTCATCAATATTATAGTAAGATTTCACAATTCCAACAAAATCAGCGATAGCAAGGTGCGAAATATATATGACTGAAACAACGCTGCGGAATTAAAACCACGAAATGAATAACCTTCATATGAAAGAAAAATGATAAGTAAAAAAATTATAATAAAAAGAATAATAAAAATAATGCATAATAATAGTAATATATTTATAAAAATAACAAAAATCATTTATGTATTATTCCAATAATTTTAACGACTTTTTTAATGACTTTTATTTAAAAAATTAAAACTTTTTCACTTTGACCAAATTTCCATAAAATTTTGAAATTTTTACTTCATTGAAATTGCAAGTAGCTAATAAAAATTTATAGCCTAATTTGCGGCGCACACACTCATTATTAGAACTACTTTGTACCAATTTTAATTAAAATGCAATTAATTATTAAACGTTTCCATTTTGCTTTGTCATTTATGCTCAAAATTAAATTTTGTGTAAAATTCATTAATGAATTTTACTTTAATACAATAAAAAACGGGAAGCAGACACACACACCAACACATTTACTTAAACAAACAAATTATAATGCATTTAAAATATTTATTTATTATTTCCTTTGTATACAAAATATGCTCACAAACACCCACACACACACACACGCATGCCGCTTTTCAGACGAAAATGCAATCTCTTCTGTGTTTGAGCGAAATTCCAGTGAATGAATACAATTGTATAAATTTTATAATTCTATTTATGTATACTTGTCACTTATTGTTTACATGTATGCGTGTTTATGTGTATGTTTGTGGGTGTGCGTCATTGCAGTGTTAGAGTGCTTTCAAAATTTAATAAACAATTGATTGCAATAGCTAATGTCAGTGCTGTTGTTGTTGTTGTTAGTGTTGTTGTTGATATTGTTCCATTGCGTTATTTCATTGTTTATGAAATTGAAAATTGCGCCTAAAAACAGGCAAACAAATTTCTTTTATAAACTTTAAATCGTTAAAATTTACGAAAGAAATCACAGCGGTTTAGGCGTTTAGCGTAATTAGTAATTTTGACTACACTTTATGTGCTGAAAACAACGGCTTTAATTTTAATTAGAAGCCTAGCACTACAGAAAAGGCTACCGCAATGGTTCAATGGTTGTGAAAATATAATTTTTTCCAAAACAGTTTTTTTGTTTCATTTGAAGTGTTTTGGTCAAACAGTTATGCTTAGAAAAAAAAAGTTTTTTTTTAATTTTTCTTTTATTATTTTTGATAAAGTAAGGTCTTATTTTATGTAATAATATTTCATTACGTTTCTCTTCTACTTGATTTCATGGCGAATTAATTTGTAATTAGTTTTGATTCAACCGCTGTAATTACTTTGAATAAATTTCCCTTTTTATGTTATTTTTTATGTATAAGTATTAAGGAATGGTTAAATCAACTTAGGCATGAAATTTTCAATATAGCTTTCCGGAAATTAGAAATTTGTTGAATTTAGAAATCCTTTAGTGAATTTGTGAATAATTCAAAAAAATTCAAATTGAAGCGAAGATTTGAATATATTTATAAATTATGGTAAAAAAAGTTATCTTAAACAAAAATATATACTTTAAAAAAAAATATTTAAAAATATTTTCATGTAAGTAAATTTCAATTTACATTAATTGTTAAATTATTGTATTAAGAGAACTTACTTATATATACGAGTAGCGCATAAGAACCTTACCACAGAGTCAAATATAAAGGTTAAGAGTTAAATTTTTAAGAAAACGATTTTCACAATAATTGTATTTGGATTGTTATCAGCCTCAAAAGTTTATAGATTTAAATAGTGTAATGCTTAATCTGATCAGACTATTTTCATTTCGTGTATGTGCACAGGCAATACATTCTTATTCTTTATTTTTAACTTGTAATTTTATAACTTTTTCTTATTGTTTGTTGTTATTACAGTTTCTAACAGATCTATGTACTCATAATCAAAACGTTTTATTTTGCTTGATTTTATTTAATACTTCTTTACCCATACCTTCCAACCTCCTCTCATTTTTTTCAAGTCGCTAATTTACTCATCTTTTCCTTGGCCTGCTTTTACTGCATTCCTCAATATATGCTCTTGCATGTCTTGAATCTTTCTAGATATAATACGTAGTATTAATGTACAATAATATATAAAAATAAATATATATATTTTAGTATTTTATAATTTGAGTTAATCTAACCTTTATTACATAAAGGTTACTTATCAATTCAGCATTGATTTTAGGATACTTCTCAGAATATCATCCCAACG